ATAGATTTGTCTATTCTATTCCTTCATATAAAAGAAATCATACAATATGAAGTCATTTGTAACTGGCTTCTCTCACTTAGCATGTTTTCAAAGTTCATCTATGTTGTGACATTGCTTTTTATTGCGACTAATATTCTCTTATATGGATATGCCACATTTTATTTATCCGTTCATCACTTATGGACATTTGGGTTCTTTCCACATTTGGGCTATTGTAATACTGTTATGAATATTCATGTAAAAATTTTTGTGTGGACATGTGTTCATTATCTTAAAGTTTGTTTTACCTGAAACTAACATAGGATAAGCCATATTACTTTTTAAGATGTTACTTTTTGGTAGTGTTTGCTTCTTATATTTACCCATCCCTTTACTTTCAATCTTTCTGTAATTAAACAGAATCTCTTGTAATTAAAATGTAGCTTGATATCGTTCTTTTGTCCAATCTGATCTTTGTCCTTTTACTGGTAAACTTAGTCCACTCACAGTTATGATTACTATTATTTTCAGATTTGTATCTAACATTTTATGAAATTTCTTGCTCTACATTTTATATGTTTTCTTGCTTTCTTGTCCTTTTAATTGAGCTTCCTTTATTTCATCTTCACTCACACTAGTTTGGAAGTTACATATATTTGTATTCTTTTTTTAGTTAGCCTTAAATCATGAATATTTAATCTAAAGGGAATGAATATTTCTCATCTACTCTCAGAAAATAGATGATCCAGAGACTATTTCAACTTCTATCATCGCTCCCATTGTACATTAAAAAAAACCCACAAACTTTTTCTTTTGAAATATTCATAGATTGACTGAGAATTGTAAAGATAGTACAGAGACGTCCTGTGTACACTTCACCCAGTTTTCCCCAATGGTTACATCTTACAAAAATATAGTACAATATCAAAACCAGGAAATGGACAATTATAAAATGTGTGTATAGTTCTCTTATTTTATTACATGTGTAAATTCATGTAACTCTCATTGTGGTTTTAATTTTTAATTTCCCTAGTGGTTTAGTGATGTTGAATGTATTCTGATTTGCTTATTTGCCATCTGTATAGCCTCTTCAGTAAAATCTCTTAATGTTTTTTGCATATTTTCTAATACATATATATTTTTTTTTTTTTTTTTTTTTTTTACTGTTGAGTATTGAGAGTTCTTTATATATTCTAGATACTGGAGTTGTGGATGTGTGGTTTGCACATATTTTCTCCCCGTCTTAGCTTGTCTTTTCATCCTCTTAACAGGGTCTTTGAAAGAGCGAAAGTTTTAAATTTTGATGAAGTCCAATTAATGTTTTTTCTTTTAGGGATTATACTTTTGCTCTCTTATTTAAAAAACTTCAAGCCCAACATCTCAAATTTTTTCTCCTGTAAGTTGTATACTTTTCTACTTGACATTTAAATCTGCTTTATTTTGTTCAGTGCATCTATGTGTCTGTCTCTCTGCTAATACCATATAGTTTTGATTTCTGTCACTACATAAGTCTTGAAATTCAGTGGATCTCTCTTGCTTTCTTTTTTTTTCAATATCGTTTAACCTATTCTAGTTCTTTTGGCTTCCATATAAATTTTAGAATAGTCTTGTGTATTGCTACCACAATCTAACTGAGATTCTAATAGGAATTGCATTAAACTTTCTATCAATTTGAGGAGAATTAACATCTTTACTATGTTGAGTCTTCCAATCCATGAACATGGTGTAAGTCTCATTTAGATCTTCTCTGATGTCTTTCATCAGCATTGTGTAGTTTTCAGCCTTCAAGTCCTGTACATGATTTGTTAGATTTTCACTTAAGTATTCTTTTCTGAGTGATTGTAAATAGTACTGTATTTTTAATTTTGATTTTCTCAAGTGTTCATTGCTAGTATATAAAATACAATTGATTTTTGCATGTACTTTATTTTTATTCAGTGTTTCAGCTCCCACATTAGCATTATTAATTTTATAGTCAATGCTTGTTTAGTTACTAAATGTTTACCACCGTCTTTCTTCCCCATTTTTCTCTCTCTCCTTTCCTCTGGTTCATTTCTCTTCTTCTGAAAGAACATCTTTTAACAGTTCAGTCAGTATTCTTTTTCTTATAAACTTCCTATTTGTTTAAAAATGGGTGTTTTTTTTTTTTGCCCTCTCTCTTAAATGAGTTCACCTACGTAGAAAGTCCCAAATTGCCCTTTTCTCTCCAACTTTGATGTTATCCCATTATCTTCTGACCTCTGATGTTTTTCTGACGTGTACCGTGTGACAGTTTTAGTAGGCGCTCTCTAGTTGCTATTAAGATCTTTTTCTATGGTGTTTTTTGCTTTTCACCATGTGTCTGCCTCTTTAGAGATTTGATTTATTTATCCTGTTAGTAACTCATTTTGCTTGTTGAATCTGAGGTTTCTTATCTTTCCTGAAGTCTGGAAAAACTTCAGCCATTTTGTCTTCAAATATTGCTTCTCTTACCTTCTGTCCTCTCCTTCTGCAGCTTTCATTAAACTTAATATTGGACCTCTATTTTTCTAGTCTCTTATCCACCCTTTTGCTCGCCTGATTTCTTCTGAGTAAATTTCTCAGAGCTTTCTTTCGCAGATAATTTCAGACACAATTCTGTTGTGTCTAACATGCAGTTTAATTTATCCATTTGAATATTTTTTGTAGGTCATAGATTAACACAATTCAAGATCTGAAGAATAAAAAGTAGTTTCAGTTTGGGAAGCTGATAAAGTTCTGGAGATGGATGATGGTGTTGGTTGCACAACAATGTGAAATGTAACTAATGCCACTGAACTATACACTTAAAAATGGTTAAAATGCTAAATTTGTTGTATTTTACCACACACAAAAAAATCTGAATAAAAAAATTATACCAGGGCAGGCTTGCTTACCTCCTGTCCTTACCCACCTCATTTCTTCCTCATTCATGCTCTATAACCACTTTTATTAGATTCTTCAAAATCCTCTAGCATTTTGGGTTTTCTAAAATGTAAATTCTAGCCAAGACAAATACATGGTCTTATTTCCTCCATCTCTTTCAGTTTTTTACATTACTTTTTCATCAATAATGTATTCTGAATCCCTTCCAAATTAATAAATCCTCATTCCTTTTCTATAGCTGTATAACATTCCATTGTATAGATGTATGATAGCTTATTTAGCTGGTCCACTTTTATTCCACACTAGGTTGTTTCAAATAGTTTACTGTCATAAATAATGCTTCTCCATTAAAACTTTTCAATTGAGTGGCTATTTTTCATTCCTAGAAAATTTCTTTTTCAAACCTGCATTTTCTGATAGTTACTTTTTCATTTGTTTCTTTTGTCTCTGATTGGTTTAACACTCTATACTATCTATGCTATTTCTTAAAAGTTCCTGAGTCTAATGATCCTTTTATATGTCACCTGGCATTCTTTTGTGGCAGTAGACTGTTCCTTCATGTGGTCTGGACTTTGGGGGGGTGTTGAGCTCACTTTTGGCAGGGCTAAATTTATGCAGCCTAGGTGGAGGATGTCATTCTCCATAAAGAATCTGTTTGCCTCTTCTCGGTGCCTGAGGGGTAGAGCCAGTACAAGGAAATTCTTGATGCTACCTTATGAGCTTATGTGTTTCCAGGCCACATAAATAGTATAAATTCAAAATCCAAATATATATGAGGACAAGTTCCTGGTTAAACAATTTCAAGGGAAGAGCTCCCTTCTCTCTCAATCCAGAGCCCAGGCCAAGATAAGCTTCCCCGTCCCTTTCTGGGGAGTCAGATTTTTTTTTCTAGTTCACCTTGTGGGCAAAAAGTGTAGCCCTTAAAGGGGTCCTGGCTTTATAATGGTGAGTTATTGTCTCAGCCCCAAAGCTAGATGTACCAAGTGGGTTTTTAGTTTCTGTTTTAGTTCTCTCTGGGTACTAGAGAATGCAATTTATTATTATAAGCTGATTTTCACCATAGTTTATTCAGCATTTCTATGTGTTCTAAATTATATGAAGTAAACGTTTATGTGTTTAGAAGCATTTAAATTACTTCACAGGGGCATAAAGCAAGGTAGTAAACCGTGGAATTAGGCACATCATTTTGAATCCTGGCTGTTATACATAATAGCTCTGTAACCATTTCTCTAGATAGCAGTTTTCTCTTCTGTAAAATGAAGATAAAGTTGATGTGAGGATTATATGAATAAAAGATATAAAATGTTTAGTACAGTGACTGGCATATGTTAAGTACTTAAATTACATTTTTACTTTTTAGTAATTTTTACAAAATAAAATGGTACACGGGTGGAAATATGTCATGTATCTACTTTTACAAAGTAGCAATAAGATTGACTGCAACAGTGGGCAAATATCCCAAGTATTTATATGTACATAAAACACAGATGTTATTTGTTGACCGATATTAACAATACCATGCTCTGACCACATCTAACTGTAAACACAATAGTTTAAAAAGGATCATCAAATAAAAGATTATCATATGAAATACGGTGCTGCTGTGAAGGATAAATCTAAGAAAGAGTTGAAGTGGGTGACGCTCTTACCATTAGGGCTGTCTGAAAATAGAACAGGCAGCCTCACAAAAAGGTGAGCAGGCCACTTTATTCAAAAGCAGAAACTGAAGAACTGCTGAAGAGACAGAACAGAAAGAATTCCTTTATTGGGAAAAGTTACAAGTCAACAGTGAAATAAAAGGAGAAAAAACTATTTGGGTAATTGATTTATGACACTAATTTAAAAATCCCATGAATACTACAGAAAAAGGAAGAGACAAAAGGGAACCCTAAACAAAACTTCTTAAATAGGTTAGGAACACTGAAAACCAAATTTAATAATTTTTTTTTAGCTTATTAAAATTGAGTAACAAGAGAAGCTTCTCTCATGCCTAGTTCCATTCCAGGCCAACCAAGCCATCATCAAAATTTCTCTCAATGTACATTCTTGTGATTACGTTGTCATTTTCCTCCTTTTTGTTAGAGACACCATTCCAAAGCAAACCCAAATATTAAAAATAATATTCGAAAAAGCAGTCACAGAAAAGTCAGAATTAAATTTTATTTCACATTGATAGAAACCGTGAAAAAGATTTACATTTTCCCACATTACAGCACAATATTTCAACGGAATATTTCTTGCCATAAATTAGATCTTGCTGATTTGTATAACTGAAACAACAATTTATATTCTTCAAGGTAAAGCAACATGACTTAGTAAATGATTGTTTAAAAATTTTAAATCCAGACATAAACATATGGCTTCATTATTAACATTCTATACAGTCCATTACTAAATTATTTCCATTATCAATTAGCACCCATTTATAAAGATGCATTCCTAACATTGTTTTAGTCAGTTGGAATACAACAGAAAATTTAACAATAGTTCAGAAATATCAAGTGTACATTTTTGCTACATATTAAACTGTGGTAACTACAGCATATATATATATCAAGTTCTGACTAACCTTTATTACCCATTAATTTGTTTTCATATAATTTTTACCAATAATCTGAAAAATTTTATTTAAAATCAAATAATTGCTACTCTTATGTTTGCACAAAAACTAATTTAAAAAAATCATCTGACTAAAGTGGAAATTTCAAATAAGTCCACTGGCAGATAACATTAAAGCAAATTTTTCTAATGGATTGTTCATTTCCTACAGTAGTTGGTTTCAAAGATACATACAAAATAAGTAAACTAAAACTCTATGCTACAAGATCATCTTAGAGCAAATCATCTTAAAATTAGTTTTTAAAATCAGTCTTAAATATTCCAGAACATACTAGAATATGACCTAATTATTCTTTCAGTTACAGAAAAATACAAGCACAGAATTAATCCCATTACCAGGACTGAAGATCGTGATAACTATAAAGGTCTAACTTTGGACTAAGGTACAGTTTAAGAAATTAGTATTGGAAGTTTGAAATGATGCCTGGTTTCTTTATAGAAGTATAAATACATTTTAAATACCAACATGTCTGTGATTCAGAATGTCAAATTACAGTATGTATTGACAGCAGATGTCCATGGCAAGGAGGCAATATTTGGTCTGTTATGAAGGATGAAAAAGAAGAAAGAACATATTTCTTTTCTAGAGAGGAAAAAAAAATATTAAATAGAAATGATATCGGGAAGAAAAGCCTGGTCCCCAAAATAAAAGGGCCATTAATTGAAGAGAGCAATATTCTTCTTTATTGACACTTAGAAGTATTATCCCTATTATTAGGAATAATGTAATAACATCTCATTCTGATGTATTACAACCCTTAACTATATGTGAATACATATATAAAAATACAGATATTGCATGGTGACTATGTAATTTTGGAATAAGTCCATTACACTAAGTCAGAGCTGCACAAATCATTTATATCTTAACTGCTCATTTATACTTGAACAAATTTTCATTAAGCATACTAATAATTCTCAAATGATGTAATACAAAATCTGGTTACAGTATTTTATTATTTTGCTGAATTATATGTGGGGAAAAAGGAGCTAGCTGCTTCAGCTATTTTAATACTAGTATATTCTGGATGATATTATACAAATACATGTATAGAAACTTAAAAGATCATAAATTTCCCAGAAGGAGATATTATCTAGTCTGTGTCATTGGTGTATATTTGCAAAACATTTTAACACTGCAAACATCAGAAGTTTCAAGACTGGGCATGGGAGAAGGTTGATACTCTACGACAGTGATGCTGGTGTGTACTTCTACACGAGGCCTCTTAATGATGTCAATCAACCGGAGGTAGGAGTTTATCAATGAATTGCTTGATATCCATCATTTCCTGTTTGGAATAAAGTGCCAGTAAGTGGTTACACAAATCAGAAATTAAATCCCCACTGAAATACCACTAACTAAATCTATGATGTACATAGCTAAGATGAAACCACATTTTTACTAGTACAATTAAATAAGAAGTTGTAATAGAGAAATGAGGCTATAAGAGAAACTTCAGAACATTTCCTATGATGATGATTACGTACATTCAAATGATAGCTTCCATCTATTATCTAGTCCCATGAAAATGGTCTGCATTTTGTTATACTTGAACAAACAGAACACTGAGGGTGAGGAGGTTGGAAGGGGCATTAGCAGTGACGATACCTCTACTGAGAAGTCTCAGTAAGTACACAATTACTGCCAACTAAGCATCAGTGGAAAAGCCTAGCTTTTAACATTCCCTTATTAGAATGAAATGCTAAACCCACAGCATAAAATATTTTGTGCCTTTCATAAGGATTTACATACAACCAACCATATGAAAGAGGGCATGTACCTAAGATAGGCCTAGAAAGATATGAAAATGAATATACCAAATATTTATTACAGAAGAAACTTTCCTAGAAGACTCCTGCATCTGGCTCATAGTTTTCTCACCTCCCTCAAACACATTTCCTGCTATCATCTCCGGTATTTCAAGGCTTAGCCTCACAGACTCACAAATTAGCAATGCAGAGAACCTTCAACCTTATAATTTAGTCACTCAGAAAGGAAAGCCACAGCAGGACAGTGGCCTACACAACACTCTAAAGTCCTGAAAGTTTCCTGTGACACCACCTCCTACTGTTCTGCGTCTTTTCACTTTCTGCTCCTAATCATCCAGGCCAGTGTCCTCCAATGTGACTGCACAAAGAATCATCTATGAGCTTCTATTTTAAAAACACATCCATACAAACACAGATGTCTGAGTTCACTCCCAAACCTCCACTGTACTGAATCAGAATCGCGCTGAATTTGGCATTTCAGCACCTGTATTTATTAATCTCCAGGTTACTTGTGATGTAAAGCCTCCTCTGAAAACCTCTGCTCCTAGACCCTCAGTCCCTCCTGGATACTGGACAGCAGCCCACTCCCCTTTCTGATTCAGTTTTCATTATGGTTTCAACTATGTTCTCCGTTACACCCTAGAATCCCAGGCCCCCTTGTCTTTGTGGATAAATCATACTACTATCTGCTTTCTCTGCCCCTAAAGCAAATGATTTAGCCAGGCTGAGTGGTTGCAAAACACTGTGAACTTGGACTGCCTCAATGCTTAGCAATCAGTTTTTATTCTAGGCCTTTTCAAGCCTCCACATCTATCTAGGCCTCCTTCATTCTTATCAATGAGCACATTGCCTACTTTACTGAAAAGATAAAGAAAGAGGATCTAATGTGAGCTCTCAACCACTCTCTTTTCTACCTCAAAATCCTTGTCTATACTCATCCATCCTCTTCTATCCTGATTCAAAAGTGGTGTTCTCCTCTTTCAAGGCAAGCACTACCCATTTCAGGACTTTATATAACATGATCCCTTAGGTTCCCCCCATTCAATTATCGTCTCTTTTTCCCCAAGGATTAGCACCTGAGCTAACATCTGTTGCGAATGTTTGGGGTTTTTTTTTGCCTTCTTCTCCCCAAAGCCGCCTAGTACATAGTTGTATATATTCTGGTTGTAAGCGCCTCTGGTTGTGCTGTTGGGATGCCGCCTCAGTACGACCTGATGAGCGGTGCCATGTCCACACCCAGGATCCAAACCAGCGAAACCCTGGGCCACAGAAGCAGAGCACAGGAACTTAACCACTCAACCACGGGGCTGGCCCCAATTATCTTCTCTTTGTCACACCTTCTCCCCACCTCCTCCCCACCGACAGGAGTCTCTTTCTCCCATCCCATTAAAAAGAGCCTTCCTACTCTTTTCCCCCTTTACCAAAACCTTTTTTAAAAAGGTTTACACATGCTGCCTCTACTTCCTCATCTCCCTCATATCTACCTCACACAATCTGCTGTAGTCTGGCTTCATCTCCCCAAACACCCGACGTCACAGATGGCTTACTACTGTGTAGTTTCTTCCTGGCCTACTTCTGAATCGTTCTCTGAACTCTCAAATGAGTTGCTCCCTCCCACTCTGAAACTCTCCTCCTGTATTCCCATTTAAACCTAACTCCTTTGACCTCCCCCAAGGTTCTATCCCTTGGCTTTGTTTCTCATGATATTCTCCCATGGTAATTCTTCACTGGTCAATAATAGTGGTAATTACTCTAAATCTTTATTTCAGGTTGAGCTTCAGACAAGTATTTCCAACACCCACTGTGACATCGTGAGGTACATCAATCTCAGTATGTTCACTATACTCAGTATCATCTCCTTCCTGTCACCCTAAAGCCAGCCATGTATCTACCTGATGAATGGATCCTCTTAGTCATCCAAGCTAGAAATCTAAGGCCTCTTTGATACCCTCTTCTTTCCTACCCCATAAAATTAGTCACTAAATCCCACTGGATTCTGCCTCATTTGTCTGCAGAATGTAGATTAGATCACATCTTGCTTTGATCAAAAGATGGCAATGGGGGCCAGCCCCGTGGTTAAGTTCATGTGCTCTGCTTTGGCAGCCCAGGGTTTCACCGTTTCGGATCCTGGGTGTGGACATGACACCGCTCATCAGGCCATGCTGAGGCGGCATCCCACATAGCACAACCAGAAGGATTTGCAGCTATAATATACAATTATGTACTGTGGGCTTTGAGGAGGAGAAGAAAATAAAAAGATTGGCAAAAGATGTTAGCTCAGGTGCCAATCTTAAAAACAAAACAAAGCATGGCAATGGCTTCCAGCTGACTAGTGAACAAGTCCATCCTCAGTACAACAGTAAAAGCTCTGTAGAACTGAGTCTCTTCCTCTCTGTGTCTTCTGTTCTGACACCCAGGCTTTCATAAGACTACGGCCCAAGTGGACAGCTTGCTTTTCCTGTCCCACAGTCTTTTCTCTGCATACTTGCTATCCAAATCCTACCCATTCCTCAAAATCCAGCTCTTTCATTATCATCTGAGTGCCTTCTAAGATAAAATTAATCTCACTTTTCTCAGTTTTTCAGAGAACTTTTTTTAAACTTCTAATATAAAATATATCACATTCTGCTTTCTATAGTTACTTGAATATATATTCTTCTTCCCTATTAAATTTTTAATTTTAATTAATCTATTTTAAATTTTAATAAAAGGGACTGTTTTTTGTCTTTGAATTATGTACAATGCTTGCATGTAATAAGAAATCAGTGTTTTTTGAATTAAATTGAATGAACTTTGACCTAAGTCCTGCTAACCTATGATTCAGTACGAATTCATTAATTAACTCCTTTAAACCCCTAAGTAGTCAAATGTTATTTATCTTAAAAATATCACATGGAAAGAGTTGCAAATATGTCTCTGTAATCACTGTTTCCAAACATTTACCTGTTGACATGAACTGTGCATCATGCCTTCATAGGTTTTGAAGGTTACATTGGCTGGATTTACCAATGTTTTTAGCTTTTCAACAGTAAGAGAACCAAACATTAGGGGAACTAATGGGTCACAATCTCCATGGCACTGGAGAATAGAAATATCTCTATTAACTCCACTGATAGGACCCTGCAAAAAACAAAACAAAACAAAACTAGTATTATTTATTCAAAAGTGTAGAGCATGATGCCAGGCATTTAAAATTGTAGATACGCACATACAACACACTATTACCTTCATTATACGTTATATATGGCCACAGAAATAAAATTCTTTCCATCACTATACTCCTCTTTATTTAAACTTTTACAGGACATATGATTACCCTGTCTTGTGTTATATGTTTTCCCATGAATAGGTTCCTTGAAGCAGATTGTATCTTAATTCTTATAGAGTCACAGTGTCTTGATATCAGAGGTATGTTTTAGCTGAATCATGTTCTTTTCAGCTCTTATTTAATTGATTTCAATAAGATGGTTAATAAACAGCACTTACTATGTGCAAGACACCAAAGAGTTACTATAGAGCAACAGAAAAAACCCTAGATTTAAAGGTGAATTTGAAAATAAAATAATGTCCACATCTCCCATGGTTACTATATATTGCTTTACACTGTTGAATATTTAGAAATTATATTCTATGGCAAAATTCTATCAAGCAGTGAACATACTGAACATTCAAAAATAATATTTCTACATGTAAAAAATAGTCCTAATTTTTATATATATCTTAAAATGCATTAAACACTTCAAAATAAGATTAATGACAACATAACTTATTTCTTATTCCATTCTATGAAATCCACAGTAAAAACAAGTGTACAGATAAAGCCTAATGATACATCCCAAAAGTCTAAGAAAATTCTTCTTAAAAAAGGGTGATTGATGTAAACTATGGGCTTTGGGTGACAACAATGTGTTAATGTAGGTTTGTCGATTGTAACAAACGTACCACTGTGCTGTGGGATGTCAACAGAGGGAAAGCTATGCAGGTATTGGGACACGGGCTATATGGGAACGTTCTATAATTTCTGCAGAATTTTGCTGTGAACCTAAAACTGCTCAAAAATAAATGAGGTTTATTAATTAATTAATTAAAAAAAAAAGATAATCCTCTCCCCAACATCATCCGCTATCTCCAGTTCAGTAATCCAATGTTGCGTGCATCAATCAGGCTACCTGTGGAAACGAAGCCCGCAGCGGAAGCCAGCAGCTGAGTGCAGTGACACCTGCCAGTTTCTGCTGTGTAGTAAGAGCAGTGTATAAAGATAAAGCTCCTCCCTGGAAAGATAAGCAGGGAAAGTCAATGGAACACATCCTCTGCTAACAGCAACTCTTAAGAGATTTCCTGTTATTAATAATGTCCATAAAAAAGTCAAACTGGTTGGCTAATGTCATATTAAATCAGGCAAACTAGTAGAAATACATACACACCCTACCATGTCCTAAAGAACATGCTTCTCTACACTCAAGACTATTGTGAGAACACAGCAACTACCCAATCAGTCAAGACAGAGTTAATAGTACAGTTAACTGCTGCACTTACAACCACCTTAGGAATATTCTGAATTTATGGTTACTGTTTTCTCCTCTGAAAAGTCTTAGGTATAAAATCAAATCTAGTCTTAAATTGGTATTATTTTCTAAAACAGGAATTCAAGATAAAAAGAACTATGTAGCAGACAACTTTAGATTATCTGCCTACCCAGCTAACAATACCTTGCATTCTGGGAACTGCACTCCCATCAGTCATCTAGATGCCACATCACTCTGACCATTCCCATGGGTCATGGGCCACATGAGGACATGAGATTATTTCTCATCCGGAATAGCTATGTTCTTTCTCCCAGGATTTTGAAATTGGGATTCAGTGACTGTTGGTCTGTCTCTTTGTGTGGCTGGAACTGTTAACATGTTAACTCAAGAAATGGAAAAGCTATAGGGTGCAAAAGCAGAGACAGCCAGCTGTAGATGGAGAGGCAAATGAAGGAGATGAGCAGAGCAACAGAGATGAAGACAGAGAGAAAGATCTGATGGCTTTCCAAATCCTAGCTATTCCTGAGGCCCTGCTTCATTATCATCCTTGGTTTCCTTGATGTGATCCCACAGACACAACTTATTTCTTAAGGTACTAGAAGTTGGTTTCTATAAATTATAATCAATGAATCTCAAATATACAGACTCCTATATTCGCTTCCTATTTGAACCAAGCATTCATTTTTGTACCTACATTTATGTCACAATGTGTATTAAAATGTACATTATCCATGAAATTTCAACAAATACCAAATCAAAAACATATCTTTCTACTGTGTATTGTATCAACAACCTATCTTTCTATTGAATTCTACCTTTTAAATAATTCCACAATTCTGACACTGGCCTAATTCAGGTATGCTGAACACTAAGCTGTTGATGCAGAATACCTGCAGATTAGAAGCTAGAGCAATGTGGGGATGGGTGACATGGCAAACAGGTGATAAGCTGGAATAAAGATGTAAGAGCAATATGAGGTAACTGTGCCTGTGGAAAAAGTAGAGAGGGTAGGAGAAAAAGTAAAGAAAGAGAAGACGATGCCAAAAATAAACATCACATATTTATATCTAAACCTATTTTACATGACAAAATGAAGGAGGATAATGATGCCACCAAGATGGCAACACAGGTCCTTCGTGACTTCACTCCCCCTTACAAGAACAACTAGCAACTATTCAAGAACAAGACACCACTGAGAGAATCCTAGAACACAGGGTGAAGCTGAAGCACCCCTGCACCACACAGACCAAGATAGACGCATTAGCAGGGTAAAAGCAGCAGCAGCTAAATGTTGACCGCATTGCCGCACTGCCCCTCCCCCAGGCCAGCACAGCACCACGTGGAGAGGAGTCCTCTGGGCCTCCAGTTCCCCCAGTGGGAAAAAGAGAGTCCAGGGAGGACAACAAGCACCATCCCCCAGCATTGTGGGTCGCTCTGTGGGAGGTCCTACTCTGACCTGCCCCACAAGGACTTCAGGGGATCTGCAAGGCTCAACTAGGAATGTGACTGTGACAGAAAGAAGGAAGAAATTCTCTGGTCTTCTACTGTATTGTTCCTATCAACAGTTTCCTCCTAGGACAGGGGACTTATGTTTAAATTAGAGTTTTGTTTAAAGGGGTGTATAGTGTTAATTAAGAAACCTAACTACATGTGTACTATGGTTATTTTAAGAAAATATATTCCAGGTTCCAATCAATTTACTTAATAAATTGATTTTCAAGATGTAACTTATAAGGTGAAAGCTACTGCTGAAGAGAGAAAACTAGAAAAGCAAGAGTATGAAGTAGTCTCTTAATAATTATTTCTAGGCCATTTGTATTTAATTCAACATAAAGGTAAGTAGTATATCAGACTCTATAATATCTAAAAAATAGACTCCTCCATAGAAAAAGGATTGAAACCACAGACTTCTAGGTAAATATACTGATGCTACTGACATACCACTCAAACTTTCTCTTACCTGAGAAAATCCTCCCAAAATAATTCTGTGAGAAGGAATGCCATTCTTCACCTCTTGCTCTATCAAAGCTTTTACTAAAAACAACATGAAAGTTAAATCACCAATACTTTCAAACTTAAGCCTATTGATATAATTTAAATAGGGAAAAATTAATAAAACCAAAAACAGCACAAAGTATATTAAAGGTTGAAATAAGTGAAAAACTGGAAGCACTCTATTAAAACACAAAATTAGAATATTTTCATTATAAAACTAGATTTTGCAGGTGCTGCTTAAACTACTAAATTATTTCATTATATAATTTGTAAACAACAGTTCTTTCTCATCAATAGATGGGTATTCTTTTATCTATGTTAATTCTGCTCATATACATTTTATATTTCCCTCTCATCAATGAAGCATAGGTATTTGTATCTAAAAGTTGTCATTTTAAAATCTAAGTAATTAAGTAGATTACATGGTTTATACTTTATAGTGTTTAGCCAGTTCATTCTATTATTTTAAAAAGCCACAGTATTAATTTTTCCTATAGCCTATAAATGATGCAGGGGAAAAAAAATCAAATGAATTCTTTTGTTTCTGCAAAATACTTTGACACTCATCATTAAAAATAATACTTGATAACTCTCAGAATTTCCTTTCTCTTTATAATCAGTCCTGTATTTATGGAATAACTGCACCTTTTACAAAATTATCTCCTTTCATTTTTGACATATGTGCAAGAGTTTCTTTTTTTTTTCTGGTGAGGAAGATTGGCCCTGAGCTAACATCTGTGCCAATCTTCCTCTATTTTTTGTATGTGGGATGCCACCGCAGCATGGCTTGATGAGTGGTATGTGGGTCTGCACCCAGGACCTGACCCAGTGAACCCCAGGCCGCCAAAGTGGAGTGTGCAAACTTAAACACTAAGCCACCAGGCCAGCCCCAAGAGTTTCATTTTTTTAAGATTAAAATTTCCAACTTTATATTTCCTTTTTATAAAAAAACAAGAATCTGCTTTTATTAGAATACTGTGAAAAAATATAAATGCCCAAATTGAAAATTATTTTTTTACATAATGTTGAGTTCTTAGAATTTGTATGAAAAGCAAGGGGTACCCTGACTAGGGCATGCGAGATTGGGATGGAGAACAGTGACGGAGGCTTAGGAATAAAAGAGCTGGTGAGAAGTAGGAGGGGAGTTATTTAGGAGAGACTGCACAGCCTCAGTCAGAAACAAGCTGCAGAAGTAGCAGAAACAGCCCAGCTGTGAGGAGGGAAGGCTGTGGCTGGGGCCTGGTGAATGTTAGCTGCGTGACAGCCAGGAAGATGTTGGGACCATTTTCCCTCAGTTTCACAAAGCTTTACTCCTCATGGTTACACCAAGTGCTGAGACGAAGTTAACAAACTACAATGTCAGCAATCAGCTATGCAGTAGTGGGTTCTAATTTCAACCACCTTTTGCACAAGGGCAAGGGCAGCACTGTGACCCTCGTCCTAATCTGAGCACTCTCTTCTTTGTTCAGCAACATATTCTCTCAGCCCTCAAATAGAGACTCCTTTCTTTCCTAGCTCTGAGTCTAAGCCTAATTCTCTCCAATAATACACCATCTCAGACAGGAAAGAAATGGCAAGTACATCACAGGCCAACTCCATCATTAGGACAGAACTTTTCATTCTGGAACACCAGGCCCATCTGTCTTCTTCACAAGGCCCAGTCTCTCCCCATCTTCCACAGGGTCTAACAACTCATTCTCATAGCCAATATGCATTTTTGTCATCTATTATTTTTTGACAAAATCCTAGCTCTCGGATTCCAGCTCTGATTTGCTTTTTGATGATCCTAAAAGTCAGTGTTCTTGGTCTGACATTCCTAAATATCCAGTGAGTGCTTTTATTGTTTTGTGGGGTTTTTTTGGATGAAGATTGGCCCTGAGCTAACATCCGTTGCCAATCTTCCTTCTTTTCCTCCCCAAAGCCCCAGCACATAGTTGTATATCCTAGTTATAAATCCTTCTAGTTCTTCTATGTGGGATGCCACCACAGTATGACTTGATGAGCGGTGTGTAGGTCCACACCCAGGATCCAAATGGGCTAACCCTGGACCCTGGAAGCAGAGTGCATAAATTTAACCACTCAGCCTCCAAGCTAGCCCCTCAAATTGTTTTGAATGTATCTTCCCTGTTTTAAAGTTCTTAAGACTTCTTCTAAAGAAAAGATTTAAAAAAAAGATTTTTACATGGATCCTCCTGGGTTTTGGTTTTTAAGCTATTTTGGAAATTTTCAAACAAATATAAAAACAGAAAGAGCATGTGAGGACTCCCTGGGTAAACATTACCTTGCTTCTGCAATTACCAATTCACAGCCAGGCTTGTTTCATCAATGCCTGCCACATTATCACCCAGATTATTCTGAAGTCAATCCCTGTCATTACATTGTCTATTTGTAAATATTTCAGTACATACATGTAAAAGAAAAGGATGCTTTTCTGCATTTTCTAAAACCACATTTTTCCCAATAAGTTAGTGTTCTTTATGCTTTCACCCAAAAAATAAACGAAATTATCATGTTCCCAAAGGAGCAGGAAATACTATACTAGAGAACAGACTTTGGAAATTCTGTAAAGTAGAATTTATACTTATTTCATAGGAGTGTTAAATGAGAGGATGATAAGAATTATTTAGCTTGTTTAATAGCTTATGTGTCCAATCAGTGGGATCTATTATTATTATTGCACTAAAATTAACCATTAATATAATTTTCATTATAACATTGTATCATTATTTTTACTCTTATTTGAAGTCTCCTTAGTGAAGAAAACTGGCCACAACTATTAATTAAACATTCTATTTTTGCCTGTGTAAATCAAAGCAAAATTAGGTATTCAGCAGAGCTAAAGTTTGATAAATGCCATTCTTCCCCATCCACTTCACCTCTATTGACCATAGTTAAGTGGATCATCATGGCAAACAAGTTAGAGTGATCAGAAAGGAACTTCAGATAATTGTGTAATATTTCATCAACATCAATAAAACTATTGAATCTACTAAAAATAGTTAAGAATGCTTTTGTCTTTATATAACTCTTCTGTACTTACCATTTTCTGCTGCCTGTTTAATTCCAGGTTCATCCTCCTGTGAATCTGGTGAAAGTCCAACAATATCAAACCTGGAAAATAAGGCAAAATCTTAAAAGAATCATTCGATTCTAAGAATATCTACTCTTGTTAAGTCTATTTTACTAAACTCATGGTAGTCTGGATAAAAGGGCTAACCACAGATACTCTCTAGAACATGAAGCCCAAATTAAAATGTCTCCAGAGGCCAAACAATTAACTTAAATGCATGAATCTGACATTCTATAAGTTCCTTTCACCCCAACTAGATAGAGATTCTAATGTTAAAAAGTCACAGTGCCACATAATTTTAGGGTAAGAACATCTAAGAAATTACTTAGTCCAATATTACACCCAAGCAGGAATCTCAACCCACACTCGTAAGAAGTTTGTAATAAATTTGAGCTACTCACTTCCCCTTCTATTGTATCATAAGTCAATCCAATGGAATAGAGTCACTTTATCATGTCACTCCTGGATGCACTACCTCATACCTATTGGACATAGGTATTTATGCTGATCTCTATCCATGTTCTGTAAAACTTTTTCATCACACATCATAGATACTTCAAACCAGAGACCAAGGGAAGCCTTCTTTTGAACCTTTCTATTTCTCTATCAGGTTATATTCTTTCATCATGGTCTCTAGCAACATTAGGTAGAAATACCGGTCCTGGATGGGAATTTTGCCAGAGAGGAAAGATCAAAGAACTAAACGCAAGGCAGGCAGGAACTTGTAAATGTTGCCAAGGAATCTAAAGTAGATTAAAAAACAGAGTGCAGGGGTGGGTTAGAGATGGGTGGGAACAAGTAGAGAAGATGACAGTGGACTAGAAGGCTTGATGCGGTCTAAGAACAAACTGGAAAGGGGGAAGCAAACTCAAAGGATGAACAATTAAGCTTAATAGTCAGGTCTGAATTAAGAGACTTCAGAAGTGGGATAGTTCCAGATAACAAGGCCCAAGGAATGACTGTGAATGACTAAAGTGGAGAGAAGAAAATGTCACTGGCAAAGAGAAGAGTCAAGGAAGTAAAAGTCAGTCAAGGATATGAACGAGCCATTTACGTTGGACTCTGTAGTCACCTAGTAGATAAAATGGTGGCAGAGCTGAAGTGAAAAGGAAAATATGCATCAGGTGTCAAAGTCATCATTTTTGAAAAGATGTGATGGCAGAAGCCACAGAGAGCAGCAGGAAGAAACCACAGTCTGGAAGTGGCTCAGAGGAACAAAGATCTGACTCTACCCACTGACTATAAAGCATATAGGGAATATGAAAATATCTTGAGAGGCTGAAGACGAAACAGTTTCCTTAAAAACTCATCAGCTCTCCAGGAAGAATAAAGAGGCTATGGTTCGAGTGTATGCCATGCGGGGTCATACAAATGTCTGGTTACTGAAATCAACAAAGGTTTATCGAGCTGTAAGAGATGTTTTCCACAGTATTTCTAGTCACCCATTCTCTCCGTTTCTCTACCTATTGGTGCCACTCCTTAAGTTTACCCTGAGTCTAAAGTATAAAAACTTAAGTAATTAAAGGTTAAATTCAAAGTTAATTATGTAACTTTGCAACTTAAAAACAGCTAATTAAAAATTGCTATATGCAAAAGAACTTCTGATAAAAAAACAATTAAGAATAAATAAAAAGTTCTTATTGAATACGTAAGTTCTTACTTACCAAGAAGGCATAGCCATGTTCATATTTAATGTTACAGGCATAACTGGTCTACATGGGAAAGAAAAAAAAAGCAAAATAAGAATAATATAACAAAGCATAAAATCTGATAAATTCCATCAATTAGATAGATAATTACTTGAGGCTTACACAAAACTGTATGCTACAATTTTAAGATATGAGCTGTTTCACTGCATCCACACCTGTTCAATTCTGATCTCCACACTCTTCAAATGCGTTCTGAAGACAGCAGCAGCTGGAAAGGACTAAGCTTAGCAAATAAAAAACATTTTCCTTTCTCAACACCCTTACTTAATATTTTCAAACTAGACATGAGGAAGAAAACCAGTAACTAAAATAGTTGGAAATGTATAAAATATGAGACTCTGGCTAATGGACTAAGGATATGAGCAATTTATTGCACAGATACTGTAGCATCAATTCCCATATGCTCAGATTACATTTTTTCTTATTTTCTAATTCTTAGCTACGACATGCTAGTTTAGGAGACCTCTAAAAAAATAAGGGACATATAAGTTTTGCCTAAATGTTTATTACACCCAATTCAGGTCTGTGATGAAAAATTTCCTGAACAACCTGAATACAGTAGGTACAAAAGGAAAAAAAACCACTATAACTACATTTCACCACTATACTCCTGATCACAAAACAAGTCTTCCTTAGCAGTTACAAAATCTTATCAAAATTTCTTTGGGAACATAAACTTCCCTGGGTTGGGAAATAGCCTTATACCAAATTCTGTCTGGGGCCAATAACAATATAGTAGAAATTCCAACATAATCAAGAACTCTGTCTCTTGCATGAGTCAGAATAATAGAGGAAATAGCAACCCTAGCCATAGTATTCAGTGGTAACCTACAGAGGTAAGATAAACCCTCTATTTCAAGATAAAAAGAGGAAGGAATGTTTTCTTACTTAATGTCAGCTATTTTTCCTCTTTCCATTCCCTCTCTCATCTTTATAAACTCTACAGCTACTACTACTTCTGAGGACGAATTACTAATCCACTAGCATGTATCTAATCCCATTGGCTTCTCCATGGCTATTGCTTCTCAGCAACCTTTTGGCCTAAAACTGGCCAATCTTATTGATTTCTTCAGTTTGCTCAAAACTTACTAGTTTCTTTTTGACATCCACAAACATTTTCAGAATTTGAAACCACATCTATCAGACTCCAAAGTCTGTGTTCTTTCCACAGTACAACACCTTGCCTCCAATCGATAAAATTTAGGAGTGTTTTCAACATAGTAAACATTTCTTACAAACCTGACAGGTCAATCCCCTTCAGAGATACTTCTTGGATATCCTTAGAACTTAACAGATGTTTGTATATCTAAAAGAATTTTTTTGGCTGTGAGTTCAACTGACCTCCAAGAGAGTATTATTTTAAATTTCTCAACAAAAAAAAGAAAATTCAATGTAATCAAGACATCGTTTTAGTTTTAAAGAATTTACTAATCTTTATTTTTAAACTGAATATTAAAAGATAAAAATAAATTATATTCAAATACTTTTCTGGAAAAGTAAAGCTATCATAATTGTTACTCTCCAGATTCTGAATCACCAGCCTAAACATTAAAAATACTTACGCATGTGGGCAGATATATTTGATATGTGAACTTCTGATACCTGCAAAGGCTTCTGCCCATCCGTGCCTGGTAGAGAAATTATTTGAACAATGCCATTAGATATTGTTTCAAATCCCAATAAATTAGTAAAGGAATAATACTTAAAAAAATTTGTGAAGATAATGTTAACTCCTTAAAATATCTTAAAAGTACAGATCATCAATGCTTATACCACCACCAACCTAGAAATAACCCAAAGGCTATTATTTAAGCTTTACCTATAGATAAAGATTACCTCTCGTAGAGAGACATGTGTTTTCTTTCATATTATTTCCACAGAACGTTATAATTTACAAAATATAAACATATATTTTTCTCTCTTTATAAGCTCACAACAGTGTGTCTAACAAAGTAAGCAAGAAAGACAATATAATTCACATTTTATATGAAGAAAAAAGCCTCAGAGGAGTAAAGTAAATCAGTTGTGTGGCATCTCTTCGTGCTTACTATACTATTAAATTAACAACTTTAGGGGCTGGACTGGTAGCATGGTGGTTAAGTTCATGTGCTCCGCTTTGGCAGCCCAGGGTTCGCAGGTTTAGCTCCTGGGTGTGGACCTATACACAGCTCATCAAGCCATGCTGTGGTGGAGTCCCACATACAAAACAGAGAAAGGCTGGCACAGACGTTAGCTCAGGGAAATCTTCCTCAAGCAAAAAGAAGATTGGCAACATGTTAGCTCAGGGCCACTCTTCCTCACCAAACCCCCCCCCCCAAAAACAAAAAACAACCAAAAACCAACTTTAATTAACATTCTTTCCTTTTGTGTCTATGTACATATCTATGTTCAAAATAGAATATGAGAAAAACTAAAAACATGTAAATCATCATAATCCTTCTAGCCAGAAATAAACAGTTAACCTTTTGATGTATTTCCTTCCAATTTTTTCCATGCACACCACTTAAGAAATAGATACAGGAGGGGGAGACAGGAGGATGAAGACACCACCACTGATGTTCCCAGGTGGTGGAGTGAGCTGGTATTAACTATCTATGAGCCTCAGACCTTCCTGAAAAATAAATTAGGAGTTCTCGTCAAGATGGCGCTGTGAGCAGACGTTGAACTCGCCTCCTCCCACAAACACAAGCAGGTTACAACAATTTTAGGAAGAATCACCCTGGATTGAAAACTGAAAACTGGATAAAAAGAACCCCCACAACAAGGGACAGTCCTGACGAAAGCAAAAGAGGCAGTAACTCCGGCCAGAGAGGAAAAAAGCCACCTTTGGGAGCAGCGGAGCTTCTCAGCTGGCCAGGTGGGAACCAACCTAAGGATATCCAGATAGCATCTCAAGACGCCTAAGAGTCTCATACTACTATACATCGGAAGGCGGATGGACTTCCCCCCGGGAGGAGGTGGAAATAGGTGAAAACTCTCCGACCCCCGACCCCCAGACAGCCTAGTTCCTGCAGGAGGCTCTCTTCCAGTGGACTCCCCCATAGCATCACCACACACCAAGGGCGGGAGTGTGCACTCACCAGCGGAGTGACGGTGGAAACAGGTGACAAGAGCCCTACTCAAGCCCTCCACGATTACACTTAAGCCCAGGGGGAATCCCCAGGGTCCCACACCCACCGGCAGGGAAGGCCTCTGCTCACCATTAGCAGGGAGGCCCCTCCCAGAATCCAGAACAAAGGGAAGCTCCCGGCGGGTGGATTCCCCGGCACAGCATCAGACCGCAAGCTGCTGCTGGGCCCACGGTCTCTGGCACACGGGTCGGTGCAGGGGATGTCCGGACTTCCTGTGGACGTGCTTGGGGACAGGGTTGGAGATCAGCACCTGGCTCTGCGGCCCAGTGGGAGGCTCCAGGGTCCTGCACCTCCCCAGCAGGGAAAGCTTCTGCTCGCCATTAGCAAGGAGGTCATGCCCAGAATCCAGAACAAAGGGTAGCTCCCGGTGGGTGGATTCCCTGGCATGGCACCAGACCACAAGCTGCTGCTGGGCCCACGGTCTCTGGCGCACGGGTCAGTGCAGGGGGCACCTGGGCTTCCAGTAGACATGCTTGGGGACACGGTTGGAGCTCCAGGGCCCAGCTCTGTGGCCCGGGGGGAGGCTCCGGGGTCCCGCAGCTCCCCGGCAGGGAAAGCCTCTGCTCATCATTAGCAGGGAGGCCACGCCCAGAATCCAGGACAAAGGGAAGCTCCCAGGGGGCAGATTCCCCGGCACAGCACCAGACTGCCAGCTGCTGCTGGGCCCATGGTCTCTGGCACACGGGTCAGTGCAGGGGGCACCTGGACTTCCCGTGGACATGCTTGGGGACAGGGTTGGAGCTCCAGCACCCGGCTCTGCAGCTCAGGGGGATGCTCCAGGGTCCTGCACCCCCCCTAGCAGGGAGGGCCTCTGCTCGCCATTGGCAGGGAGGCCCTACCCAGCATTCGGAACATCAGGAAGCTCCCTAGAGCAGAATTCCCCACAAGGCAGCAGCTTACAAGCCACCGCCAGGCCCACGGACTCTGGCCATGTCCCAGACGAGGCAAGGGGCTCCCAGAGATCCCGTAAGAGTGGAGTGGGGCAGAGCGGAGCTCCGGTGAAACAGCTATGTAGCCCAGGGTGGAACTCCAGGTTCCTGCAGCAGCCTCAGCAAAAGCCTCTGCACAGCACTAGTGGAGAGGTCTCGACTGGCAATCGCAAGGCAGGAAGGCCTTGGGGCAAAAGTAGCACAGCTAGGTGAGCTAACGACAGACTGCAGAAGATACCCATAGCTCTGCTGGGACCTATAGTGGACAAGTGTGATCTTGTGGGCTCTGTTAGGGATAAAGTGGCGATTAGAGGTGATCCTACTCCTGGCTGATGGGAAAGCCCACAACACCGCTGCAGACCACAAGGAGGGAGCGGGTCTAAGTGGGCTGCAACAGTAGGCATCAGCAGCCTGAGGCCCCCTTGTGATTGCCCCCACAACCAACAAGGGACCCCACAGGACCACTGTGACTACAAGGAGGGGTCCAGGTCCAGTCAGTAAGAGCTGACAGGGCTCCTGGTTGGTGCAGTCTAAACAGCTGCTCCCCACCCAACACCAGTTGCAACAAGTGGAAGCAGCGACTAAACGCTATCTCTATGCGGAGGCACAAATCCACGCCATCAAGCAGTTTAAAAAATATATTAAATCTCCAGAACAGAAGGAAAATGATAAGTACCCAGAAAACAATCCCAAAGACAATGAAATCTATAACCTAAATGACGATGATTTCAAAACTGCCATTATTAAAAAACTCAACGAGTTAAAAGAGAATTCAGATAGACAACTCAATGAGTTCAGGAGCTATGTCACAAAAGAGCTTACACTATAAAGAAGAACCAATTAGAAATACTGGAGATGAAGAACACAATGGAGGAGATTAAGAAAAATCTGGACTCTCTGAACAGTAGGGTCGATAATATGGAGGACAGAATTAGCAATCTGGAGGATAGGAATATAGAAATGCTGCAGACAGAGGAGGAGAGAGAACTAAGACTAAAAAGAAATGAAGAAACTCTCCGAGAATTATCCGACTCAATTAGACGCAACATAAGGATTATAGGTATACCAGAGAGAGAAGAGAAGGAGAAGGGGGCAGAAGGCCTGTTCAAAGAAATAATAGCTGAGAACTTTCCAAACTTGGGAAGAGAGATGGAACTTCATGTGACAGAAGCCAATAGATCTCCAAACTTTATTAACACAAGAAGACCAACCCCAAGGCATATAGTAGTGAAACTAGCAAAAGTCAACGACAAAGAGAAAATACTAATGGCAGCCAGGCAGAAGAAAATAACTTACAAAGGAAACCCCATAAGGCTATCAGCAGATTTCTCAGGAGAGACCTTACAGGCTAGAAGAAATTGGAATGAAATATTCAAAACTCTGAAGGACAAAAACCTGCAGCCAAGAATACTCTACCCAGCGAAAATATCCTTCAAATACGATGGAGAAATAAAAACTTTCCCAGATAAACAAAAGTTAAGGGAGTTCATCGCCACAAAACCTCCTCTTCAAGAAATGCTCAGGAAGAACCTCATTCCTGAAAAATCAAAAAAAGGAAAGAAGTTACAAAATCCAGAACAAAGGAGATAAGCAGAAGGACAATAACACAAAGTAACAGCTCTCCATCAGGACAAAATGCAAAACAACAGGAAAACAATTGATAAAATGGCAACAGTAGGCCCACACGTTTCAATAATCACTCTAAACGTGAATGGATTGAACTCTCCAATCAAAAGGCACAGAGTGGCAGGATGGATCAAAGAACGAGATCCAACAATATGCTGCCTCCAGGAAATACACCTCAGCCCCAAAGACAAACACAGACTCAAAGAGAAGGGATGGAGGACAATACTCCAAGCTAATAATGAACAAAAGAAAGCAGGTGTTGCCATACTTATATCAAAGTAGACTTCAAAGCAAAACAGATAAAGAAAGACAAAGGGGGCAGTATATAATGATAAAAGGGACGCTCCACCAAGATGACATAACACTTATAAATATATACACACCTAACACAGGAGCACCAAAATTCATAAAGGAACTATTAACAAAACTAAGAGGAGACATCAACAGCAATACAATAATAGTAGGGTACCTCAACACCCCATTAACACCAATGGACAGATCACCCAGACAGAAAATCAACAAGGAAATTACAGAATTAAATGAAAAATTAGATGAGATGGACCTAACAGATATATATAGGACACTTCATCCAAAAACAGCAGGTTACACATTCTTCTCAAGCGCTCATGGAACATTCTCAAGGATAGACCATA